TTACAGCAGCTGCCTTTCAAGGATTCGCGTGCTCCCGCGTCTCCTTGCTGCTGAGCTCCACGCCGATCTCCACCACCCTCCACACCTACAGCCAGGCACGAGTGCTTCCAGAGCAAACTACAGTACCCATAAGGACTCCAGTTCCTCGCAGCCGTACCACCACACACTGCCTCTCGGGTGCCAAAAGCCGTGCTGCCATCAGATCTCCAGCTCTCCAGTCCTGCTGGTAGCGTAACAAACCAGTCACAATCTCACTGGAAGGGGCTTCAAGGGCCAACATTGGCTTTTCCTGGATGGAAAGTTTTGGCCACGCGCTGGTGGAACCAGCCTCTCACCGGGCTCCCAAGCCCCAGAAGCCCAGCGCATGGGGACAAGGATGACGACGAGGATGAGGATGTCCTCCTTCCACCTTAACCAGATAGAGCCAGCAGTCCAGCTCCACAACAGCACCAAGGCCCACCACTGCCACACAGGCAGTTCAAGAGCTGATGGATACGAACGGTGATCCTCAAAAGCACGGTACAAATATTAAAAATGACCATTCTAAACCAGCCTCACCAGCAGCTGTTCCTGGGCAGCTCTCCCCAGCTCGGCAGCTGACGTGCATCTCCAGCTCTGGCACAGTGATTTCTGCTGCTCCCCACTTCAGCGGAAAATAATTCACCAAAGGTCAGGCGATCCTTCTGACACAATAAGGCACTGTTGGAGAATAACAGTTTCTGCTTTAAACAAAATATAGATTCTGGATACTTTACTGATGCCACGGAGCCAATAATTCCCTCTTCCGGCAGCAAAGCCTGGAGGGATTAATGAACTGCTCTGCACTGAATTCCTGAGTAAGAGGAGCCCTACCCAAGTCTCACTGCAGAGAGGTATTTTACAGTGCAATATGCAACTGTGAGCATTCATTTCTCATCAGCTATATAGTTTCTATATGGATTTATTTTATACATAGATATATACCAGATTATTTATGGTGTTAACCAAGGATGGGGCTCCTAACTTGAGTCTGTACTTGAGACCAGAAAGGAAGGAAGTCCTGTTCTCAGGCATTACTCAGGCAAGAACAAACGGCGACGGCACCTCAGAGACGTTCCTCCTGCCAGCGGAGCAACCACTTCCAGCCAGGCGTGCAAACAGATGCCTGGGAGCAGCCCCAGCACATGGACCAGTGACATCACCGCACCCGACGCCGTGATGTCACACAGCTCCCAGCTCCTCATCCCCTCTCCCCCAACCCCACGCAGCAGGAGGCTCCCAAATTACAGCATTCAGCCGCATCGGGTTGGCAGGACAGAGCCAGACCCCGTGCATGAGAAGTTAAGCGCAGCTTTAGCACATCTGCTAGGCAGCCGCGAGCTCGTTGCTCCCGCAGAGCTCTCCTTGCCAAAACATGGCACACCCCGCCAGCGGGCCCAGAGCAGGCCGCTTTGCTACGGCCAGGGAGCTTCAACGCACGAGGGGTTTGCATTTTGTTTTTCAAACAAGACAGATCTACCATGTACCTGCAGCAGGGGCACAGAGAAGGAAGAGGTTTCACGGTGCCTCGGCTGCCTGTTGCCACCTCCTCCACGACGCGAGCAGCTCCCAGCTGGACACGCACAGGAGAATGACCTGAACCTGCTGCTTCCCTTGGACGTGCCATGCTGGGCAGCAGAGCCGCGTCACCGAGATCTGCTCCTTTGGCTCTGGAAAACAGCTGAGAGAGGAAGAGCCTGCTCTCTGCCTTCCACTGCGGACATGGCTGTCCGGGCCAGGCCCCCTCCAGCTCGGCCGGGGATGGGGAGACGCGGCCGGTGGCACTGGCTGTTCCTCTGAGAGTCTCCAAACTTTTCAACTTCCTTCTGTAAGAAATGTCATTAATGTCACCATGTCAGAGAACAGCGTCTGCGCGTTCTCCTGAACAGAGGGAACGCGAAGGGCTCAGAGCCAAGGAAATCTCCTACGGCGCTACGGCAGAAAGCCGGACGAGCCAGGAAATAACAGCAGTAACCCTTTCGTTACAGCTGTGCAGCTATACACTTCCAACACCGGCTCAGTTCAGGTCCTCTTTACAGATTTCTCTGACCAAAATTGTAACAGGAAGACTACTAAGTAAGGCCAGAATTTTGTTAACAGTGTGGGAAACCTAATACCAAAAAAGCCTCTTTATCCTGTTACTAGCTCTTACTGGGTAAAGAGCCCATCAGCCAGCACAGCACTGACATCTCCTGGAAGCCACAAACCACTGTAGACAAAAATTCCAGCTTTTTCACTCTGTCTTGCTCATTAACAACGAATTTGGCTGATTTGCTTGAACACTGAGACTGTAAGAAACACCACTGCAGTTTACCTAGCCCCTCACAGCAGAAAAAATAAAGGGCACGTGCACAGCCCCACTTAGGAACCAGCTCTCCCAAACACTGGTGGGCAAGTCTCTGTTCTCCGGACAGAAAAGGGAAAGGGAAAAGGCAAGGCTGAAGGGGAGGAACCCCACAGACCATGAAAGTCCAAAGAAGCAATATTTATTGTTCTAAAACTCTAATTTTTATCTGCTCAGATTATATTGCTGCTGCTTTGTCAATATATTGGGGTTTTATCACTATAATCCCTGCTTCTTGGAACTAATAAAGCTGCTTTTGGACAAGGAAATTCAGGAAACCTTTCCGATCAGCTCGCTTCACCCAACCCTCAGCTGCTCTCTGCGGAGCAGGGGTGATCGAAATGCACATAGGCGGGAAGAGCACCCGCTGACAAGGTCCAAGGGGCAGTCCAAGGGCTCCAGTTCCACGAGGCATTGCCTCTGCTACCGGGTGTCTGTCCTGTGTCAGCCTGCTCGTCTGGAGACGACAGAGCGAATCTTGCATCCGCCTCCGCTGATTTGGAAACCCCAAATCCTTTTTCTCATCTTCTGTAAGAGACTTCGGTTCGCAGCCTTCCAGCCAAACTCGCTCAGAGGGAGCCAGCTAAACGAGCACGATATTCAAGACCCCCAGTTTGTGAGCACAGCTGCCCCTCGCCACTTGGAATCTTTGCCAGACTTCGAGCCCCTCTCCCCGCACCGACCCAAGACACCGTGCCACGCCGCCAGAGCTCACACGCTTACCGCAGCAGAGCCGGGTGCGAAGTCTCCAGCGCAGAGGACATTTAAACTTCCCGCCCAGGTGGCTGCAGTTCCTCCGGCAAGCGCAGAGTTCAGACCAGGTTCCCGTTTCTGCGGTGACGGATGCTCAGGAGGCTCTGCAGTCCCAATGGCGAAACACCTCATTTTCCTGCCACCACGCTGTGGCCGGGCAGACGCCGGGGCAGCCTGCCTGGCGGGAGGGAGGGGGCTCCCAGCACCGAGTGACAGCGGGACCCCTCTCACGTTCAACTCTCTGCGCTGGAAAGCAACCGTCAAGAGAGCAAGAAATCCCAAGGTGATACCTGGGTGTGAAACATCCACACACTGAACAGAAAAACGGAGTGCTCAAAGGTGTGTACCAGAGCAGCACTAGCACAGGCACTGTATCATCACACTCTGAAAACCAGCTCCAAACACCCAACGAAAACAGCCACGGATGAGAAGCAGCACTGGATGTGTGTGCTGGGGCTTATTTTTCCAGTTTGGAGAGGAATTCACTCAGAGTGAAACACAAAAGTAAGCCTTTAGCAAAGATCCAAGTCCCATCTGCAGCGGCGAAGGGACATGACAGCACACGGGCTGCACCCGTGGCCGTGCTGCACCCAGGGCTCCTCTCAAGGCTGCTCCGAGAAGGCTCCGGCAGCTGCTCACCAGTGCAGCGCACCGAGGGACAAGCACCCGAGCCAGCAAGCAGACGCCGCTACCCAGCACAGGCACTGCCCTTGCCCGCTGGTATTCCAGCAGCTAACCGGCCCGTCGGGGCTCGGGCTGGCAGAGCCGCTCTCCCAGCGCCACAGCAGCAGCAGCGCTGAGCCCTGGCCCTTCCACCTGCCGATCCCCAGCACCCAGGGACTGCCATCGCCTTTTTTCTCTTGACAAGCAAACTTTTTTAGAGGATCACAGGGGTATTTGCTTAGCGGGGCTGGGGAAAAGCAATAGCAAAGGGGAGCTCGCGCTGCGTCTGTAGAACCACAAACACAGCTTGCCTTTTCCAGGGGGTAACAGAGGGACAGGCAGCGAACAGCACACCCGGCCAGCAGCGCTCGGTGCCCTCGGCACGGCAGGCTCGGGCTCCTGCGCTGCTCTTTCCTCCCAGGCCGTAACGTATTATTAGAGGAAGTTCAAACGTGAAGCCATACTGAGCATCGAGCATCGTGAAACTGCCACGGAGCAACGGCACAGAACACAGTCTGCTGTTTGTCACCGGTCACCTTCACGAATGTGCAGACAGAAGTCCTGAAGCTGTCTGTGATGATTCCTAACTCAAAAAAGCAAAAAAGTAGCCTGCAATAGCCCTGAAATTACTAACAACCATCACAGTTCCAAAATATATTAAAAGAACACTTAACCTTTCTACTTAAAATAGATTTACATATAGTCTTCTGAAAGAATAAGGAAGGAAAAGTCAAGTTTTTAACAGCATTTGCTACAGGGGCTCCCATTTTAAGAGCTGAGAAGCATGGAAACTTTTATATTTAACTCACGCTTGAGAGTTCTTCAGTATTAAATTACTTCGGAACTGCGAGTCTGTGTAAAAGTGCCCTCAGGATGTTCAGTCACCTGGATTACTGAAAAGCAAAATACAGAAGTGTGCAAGCAACTTTTTCCTCTCTATTATACGAGATTTACAACGAACTTCTCTACCCAGATCCTAGCCTATTTAGGAGGGAGAGGTTCCGAGTGTGGTACTCCAGATTGCTTCCGAAAACACCGGCCACAGCTGAAAATGGAAGATTCGCAATGTTAACTTCCCGGATAACTGTTTCTTTTAAAGAAAAGCCAAAGGGCCAGAGGAAAATACTTTTTTTATTTAGAACTTGCATGCAAGATTAGGTTGGCTTGGGTGGGATTTTTTTAAATAGAAAAAATGCTCATCTTTGTTACAGACCCTTTCAAAGTCACTCTAGGAACCTTCTCACTGCCAGGGATCAAGCCAGGTATGCGTCAGTTTAATGAACTAGATAAACAATTGTGTCACCAACATCCTTTGTCAGGCCATTCTCAGTAACGTGAACATGTTTCTCGTCCAGGTCAATGTGGAAGATGGCTTGCTCCAGAATAGGCGTTTTCTCTGCTTCTTCTTTGCCAAGGACTGGAACACGGCGTGGCCCAAGCACAGGATCATCAAACCTCATCAGCTTCACTTTAGAGAGATCTGCAGTGAAGAGACTGGCTAGTTAGGCTACTGGACCTACACACAAGCTATAGTACCAACCGAATTAATCAAAATGACACTTGATACTTGGTACTTCCATACCTGCCCCAAGGAAATACGTTCTCTCAGGAATAACATTCATGTTATGATTTACAGCCACCACAAAGCTGTCATCCAGTGGTTACACTGCCAGTTACCAGCAGAAAGGGGGTAACGCGCACAGAAACGCCAGCCCCCAATACTCCACTCTAAGCACTGAATCTGCCTGATCTGGCTTTGGGACAGCTCAGTAATGAGCAGTGATGGTATCATTTTCTGAGGAATGAGTTTCAGAGACTGGGAGGAAGGGGAAGGTGAGAGTTGTTTTAAATACAATTCCCTATTAAAATGCACACGAATAAGAGACTGATAAGCAGACCAAGAAAAATCTATAGGAAGCCTGGGATATTTCAGCCAAGCCTTCCTTAAGGCACAACCTTCTGGCCCTTGTGCCCCAACAGAACAGGGACACCTTCTCGAAGAGAGCGAGTCAGAGTCACTGGTTAACCCCATTTGGTTTCCATCATTTGAAAATATCCACAGATATGTAGCAGAAGGCTACAGATACAGACACACACCTACTGTGTGTACAGTACACATCTGTGTCTTATGTATTAGTGTACATTATGTACAAAGTACTTCTGTATTAGTGTACATTATGTATAAAGTACACATTTCTCCTGCCTGTATTTTGCTACGTACTTTTATCATACATTGCTCTCTGTGTGCACCATGATCAGTATGTAGCTGTCTCTGTTCTACAGATAAACATTAATATAAACACAACCTGTTGAAAGAGAAGACGACTCTGCTGTCACAAGCTTTTGGATGAAGTCCAGTTTTCCTTTTATACCCAGCTCACAGTGCTTCAGATTTATTTGACTTAATTCCCGTGTTCTTCAACAAAAACACAGCTGCTGTTCCTTTAGGAAAGCTATTTTCTTTCATTATACTGGCCAGAAACTTCATGCTTGTTACAGTTATGTCCCACGAGAAATCTTATCATGCTATTCTGTGTTTTCCTAAAATATCCTTCCAAGCAGGTGGAGAAGCAAGGAATACTAAAATTATCAACAAGTAGGCTAGAAAAAAAATTGCTTATTTCCAAGAAAAATTGAGGAAAAGCACTCACCCTGAAATACTGCTGCTTACAAAGACCACCTTTAGCCTGTCAAGATACCACAAACATTTAAACTGACCGTAGCAGACCTCTTCAGAGGCAGCTTTTATTCCAACTGCAAAAAGGCAAAAAACAAGCAAGCGGCCAAGACTTTCTCAGTGCCACACAATGAGATGGTGACAAAGATGAAAGCAGCATCTCTCCTGTCTTGTCAGTGCACATCACCTCTGGAACTTACGTGGCAGCACGAAAGCCCTGCATAAAGTTACCAGACAGCAAACTACTCGGAAAGTGAAGAAGCAAGAGGCAGCCAAGTTCAGCAGCCTTCTGTTCCCACTGCTCTCCTGGAAATGTTACTCTAAGCAGCATGTGATAGCTGTACATTTGCGCTAGCGTTTACCTTTGATTCCTCTGTCCATCTTCATTAAGCGCCTGATCACCATTTCTCTGTTGTCTCCTTGCCTGATTTCAATTTTTGTAGAGAAGTGGCCATTTGATGGTTGAGGGTTCACCAAAAACACAGACACACTGGGCTGGAAGAAAGTAACACAAACATTAGAGGAGAATCTATATTTGTGATCCAAGCCTCAGAGGAACATGAAACTAAAACAAATAAACATCTTCCATCAACAGATATTCTGGATGGATAAACTTCATTCGGAGATGCTGCCTGCCAGTGGCAGAGTACACGTAGTCCCCTAACTCTTTAAAATACACGCTAGTGCATGCACAAGTTTTTAGGACATATTTAGGGAAATCAATGAATTTTTTACTGTGGAAAAGCGTTAGAGCTAGAAATATGCATACACGATACCACTGTTGTAAAGTTTCATTGATCTTACACATTACTCACTAATTCTTCCAAGACTCCATGACACAGCTGTAGGAATAATTCTGAAAGGTTTTATTTTTATGCAGCTGAATGGAAATTATTAGCTCATCATAAACTAACGGATAAACACAGAAAGTATTAAAAAACACTTTAGGAATCAACAAACAAGTAATACAGAGTTTTGCATGGGAATCTATAATACTTTAAAGTGAGTATAATAAGCAACACCACAATTTCTGAATAACAGCGGTGAAGTTCAGCCATACTTGCACAGGACCATCTCAATTCTCTATGTTTGGCCCATGTGTTAACCAGAATATAATCTACCTTATCTGAACAGCAGTAATTGAGGCATACAGTTGAAAGAAATAAATACAAGAGTATGCAAATATTCAGGCCACTTCGTTTTAACAGTCTTCAGGTCAAATCATTAAATTGTGCTGACCGGAAGAGCCATCACTGTCACATTCAGGACTCCATACAGCAGAAGGAAAAAAAAATGTCATAATTGCTTCAGGAAATGTTTCTCGGTTTGAACGGTTGCTGGGTCAAAGACAAAATAAATCCAACATTTGTGCTTCATTAGGCAGTTTTTAAATGGCATATTTGCTTTCGTCTGGGTTTTTTTTAAAGCAAGTTGTCAGACTTCCAGTATCTGAATTTCTGATTTTACCTCAGTTCTGAATACAGAAAATGGTTTTCCAGGACAGCAGTCTTCTTTTATTTTATCTTCTGCTTCAGAAGCAAACTTCACTTCTATGTGATCCAGCTGTGGGAAAAGACAGGAGTTTATAATCATTTTGGAGGGAACAACAGGAGTTACCAGGCCTACGAAACAACTGCCCACACAGCAAAGCAGAAAGTAAATGTGCATTGACATAAGGCAGCAACAGCACACCCCAAAAATCAGAAAATACTGGAGGAAAGGACCTCTGGGGCTCTCCTACTCCCTGCCCCAAGTGAACGAGAGCCCACCCATGAGACTCCAAGGATGGAGACCCCCCGGCCGCCCCGCAGGTACGCTGCTGCCCTGTCCGCATGGCCCAGCTCAGCATCACCAGCAGCAGCCCCAGCACAAACTGCCCGCCCCTCCTGGCCTCCCGGCTCACTGCCAAGAAAGTGGTGGCTTTATCGTCTTTGAGGAGTGGAAGATTTCTCTGATATCTGCCCCTCGGACAATCTCAAGGAGCCCACCACCCCCTTCAGCCTCTCGCTGCAGCCATCTCGGTGCTCCTCTGCCCAATGGCCACGAGCCCTCGGAGCCTTCTGAAGCCGGGGCTGCAGAGCGGGGCACAGCACTGGCACAGCCGAACTGGGGCTCAGCAGAGTGGAGAGGGACGTCCTCCCGCGACTGGCCACACCACCTCCTGCACAGGCAACCCCTTCTAAGGCAGGCTGACATACCAGGGGGCTCGTTTGCGGTGACAGCACGCTCGCCTTAAGCTTACGTTAGGCTTGACAACCCCGCAGTAACCCCACAGCCCCTCGCAGCAGGGCCGACGGCCGGCCAGCCAGCACCAGCTTCCACAGGAACAGGGGGCAGCTCTGCCCCGGTACAGAACGTGACCACTCCTGTTCCACCTCAGGAGGTGCGATCGCCCAGTTCTCAGGCTTCTCTAGGTTCTCCCCGATGAAAGAGCCACCAGTTACCAGATCCACTGTTTAAGTGCTCCCTCCCCCAGTTCAGGGGGTTTTGCAGACTTACAGATATTTTAAAATAAAAGTTGTTGCTTGCTCTTGACTTTGCTCTGATATGGGACAAGTCTAGTAAAGCCACATTTGTTTTGTACTGTACAGGTTACAAAATGAAGTTTCACAATATGTTTTTTTTCTAAGTCTTGAAAGAGTTGCTTTCCATATTGGTTTTTTGGGGTCTTTTTTTGTTTGTTTGGGTTTTTTCTTTGTTTGGGGTGTGGTTTTTTTGGTTGTTTTTTTTTTTTTAATATAACCTGCCTGAGCTGTCCTCTCATTAACATACTGCCTGTTGAACTAAATTTTAGTTAACCTGTGAAGCAGCATAGCTGCTACTAGATTGGCATCCATTTTACTACACACCATAGTTTTAAAAGCCCTGCCCAAAACTTGCTCCTCGAAGAGGGCAAGGTAATCCACTACAGTCAACATGCCATTGTATGAGTCTGAGGATACCAGGCTAAGGACTCAGATCATTCTTGCTAGTAATGCCTTGAAACATCTCCTCCTCATTTTTTCAGCTGAAAAAAAATGCAAGATATTGTTTGGCTCAGCGAAAAACGTCTCTTTAAAAGTGTCACTGACTTTACTATCACGGATACAACCAATTCTGCAGTAAAACCCGCCTCTGTTCTGTGGGAACACGCTTGTATACTACCCAACTACCACTGTGCCTCGTGCCTATATTTAACAGATTTATACACCTATATTTGACAAATTTAAACAGCAAGATCAAAATACAGAAAGTTGATAGAAAACTATTACTTGAGCACCATATACCCCGCAGTAATGCAAACTTTCGAGCCTTAAGGCTGGTCCTCCAGCTCTCCCAATAAAAACCAAGTAATGAATATGCCAAGTATGTACCAACCTCCAGTGAGTTTGTCAAATAGACAATATTCTCCATGAGCACTGCACGTTCATCAAATTCCAGTTCCAGATCAAGAACACGTGAACCATTCTTCTCCAGATTTTCCTGTCAGAGAAAAAAAAAGAAAAATAAAAAATTAAAACCCTCTAAATGCTGCAAGTAAAATGATGCTTCAAAGTGGCAAGCTATCTACATTTGTCATGAAAAGAACAGGCTTTTAAATACGAGAGCTCTCTGCTGGCACAACATGCTAACATAGGAACAATAATTTTCTTGTAACAGGGTTTCTTCTAGGGAGAGTTAGTGACACTGATGGGAGGAGTAACAGCAATTAGAACACATTTTTAATACAGAATTGAAAAGGTGTTTGACATTCACAGTTATTTATAATCCCTTCTTAATGCGCAGGTTGAGAATTCACAAAATAAGTCAGCACTTCGGTGGTATTTCACAGCAGGAAATTCAGTCTTATGACCTAGTTTAAAACAAAGGACAAGCATACAACAACTGGGCATGTTCACAGCAGTCATAAAACAAGCTCTCTGCAGGGAAATAACAACTGCTTTCTATGTTAACACAAAAGTAACTTAATTAGTCCAGAAAGCCAATAGCAACAGTCACAAGTGACAACATATTAAGGCAATATAAAAACCACATGATTTTTTTTTTTTTTTTTTTTTTTTTTTTAAATAAAAAAAAATTTCCCCCTTGGATTTTTTCCCCCTGAAACAGAACTTCCTCTCTGGAATTTACTCCGTCCCTTTCTTCTTTCATACGCCGAGCCAGCTGTCTCCTTTGAAGCTCTGCTTTGTCAGACTCAGTGTGGTTGTGGTTTCCTGGTTTCCTTGTCAGTTTAGTGTGAGAGATTCCCTACATTAACTCTGAATTGCTTCCCTTTGTAAATCACAAAGTTTATTCTGCATTTAAGCCCTCCTTTGACGAACAGCAACCACAAGCAGAAATGCTCCTTGTACAGTGGAATTGCTGAATAATTGGTTTCAGAGGAAAACACACCAATCTAGGGAGTCTGAGCTCAGATGTTCTTACATCTTTACAGGAAATCACTTTGCTCTTTAGAAGCGAGAGGATCAATTATTGGGTAAGCCTCAGCACGCCAACCCAGTCCCTGTGCACACCGGGATCACTACCCATCGCCAGACTAAGGACATCAGAAATCAGAGATGTTTCAGACCCAACACACTCGTAGGACTGGCAGCTGGCCTGACCTTTCCCAGCCGTGTCGGCTGATCTAACACAGCACTACATCTCTTCACAAACTTCGCTTCCACAGGGAGCTTCATAGCTGCTTTGTGCTCTCTGTTCCTCTGAAGGCTTCGGAGCTACCATGAAAAGGAATAACTAGAACAACCCTAGGGAGAGGGCGAAAGAGCACCTCCATTTGTAAAGTACAGCAAAGCTTACAAATACAAGACATTATTGCATACATTTTAAAAATCAAGCTAAAGCTTAAGAAGAAAGAGCAATACTTTTACACTCATTAATATTTTTTCCATTACTAATCCCTCTCAACTTCTACAAACCACAAGTAAAAGTCAGAAAGGTTTTAAATCCTACTCTGGCCCCTCTTTTTTATTTATTTATTTAGAATTTTGCTTTTTCTTTGCTTTTTGAACCTTCCTAATTGCCATATTGAATTTTTATCTAAAACAGCAAGTACAAAAAAGTTTCTTTAAAAAAACTGCAAGCCAAGATTTTCATAGGCTTGCACGACTCTGGGAAAATAATAATGAAATATCAGAATATCAGTGATAAAAACTTAAGAATCAAACAGGAAATTTGTTAATTCCCTTCAGGGCTCAAAACAGTCCCTTTTTTCCTCCCTTAAATGTAGTGCAACCAATTAACTCTATCCTTGTTCTTAACTTTCAAATGTTAAGCATTTTTCTGTCTCCAGAGCCACGCCTTATTCTCATTTCAGCATGAAAAACCGGAGAAGTCAAACATGATGCATTTCAAACGTAGAGGAATCCACTTGTATTTGAAGCACAGATTGTATAACCTGCAAAATACACAAACTACCAAGCCTCAACTAGAGCATTAGTTCACTGCGCCAATTCACATAGAGACTTTTTATTATATCTCTCTTCCACAGATGTCAAAGAAGCTTATAAACAAAACCACAAATATGCCAAACAACCAAGGGGCAGGATAGAGACCAAACTCCAAAGTTAGTAGGAGATCCAGGAACAAAATACAGGAAACTGCAATACCAGTGCACAAAGTTACAGTTTATCATTGCCTTTGTCCAACATGCTTCACTCAAAAAAGCTTTTTCTAGACAAGAACTGTCCCTCTGACATTTACCTTAATCATGGCAACAAAAGGCATAACCTTCTTCATATACTTCTTCAGCTCCGGCAAGGCGTTCAGCTCACTGGCAATTACTTTATTATCTGGCAGCTGACCTCCACTGACCTAAACATTGAAGTACATCCATTAAAAAGTACAGGTATCATTAAAAAAACTTGCCCTTTAATATCATCTATCCTTTGTTCTTTCACATAAATACCAGCAAGGTTTGTCATCATCATTGATGTTACATATAATTTTCTCACCCCTTTGAAACTTTTTTAAAAGTAAAATTTTAGAACTTTGACCAAAAAACCTAGATAATTACTGCCATTCAGGCAACTCAGTATTATTCTGCATTTGCTTTATTCTTTCTGGTAACTATATATCAATATACTTAAATTTTCTACCAGAATGCACTTTAAATCCGTATTTAAGCCTTATCACAAGCACAATTTTAAGAGCTAGTCTCCTGAATTGTTTGGGTTTCACATCCAAAATGTAGGTATTTGCAACAATCCCATTTAGTGCATCAGATAAACAAGTGTATTTTAACGCTGATGCAGAAAAAAGCCTATAGAATGCCCAAAGTTTAATACTCCAAAAACATATTTCACATGAGGAAAATTGGTTTATCAGCACCACAATCTGGAATAGTCGCTACTCTCTAAGGTATCGGCTACAATACTGATTTGCTCAAGCTGAGCAGGGTGGTTTGTCAAGATGCCAAAAGCCACTCTCCTCTGTTTCCCCACGTCAGAAGCACAGATTCTTCTGCTTTCAGGAAAGCTTATTTCCTCTACTTAGGACTGACGTATTCCATCTCAACGTATTTCTTGTAGCATCACTGAATACTATACACCTGTTCAAGGACCAAAACAACGCTTCTAAGCCCACTTGCACAGTAAGGCAGCATGAATCTGTCAGTCAACAATGTTTCCTCCGAAATATACTTGGGAAGAATACTTTAAAAGCTATCCACTCTGCAAATGATAAAAACAACAGAACATGGGCCGCTTTTTACTCAGATTGTCAAAAAACAATGAAATCATACTGTCAAACCAATTACATTCCTTGGGACATTTTCATTAAGCACCAAAATTTATCGGACAGTTGCAAATACAAAAAGAAAACCTAAAACATCTTGCTTTATATTTAAATAATTTGGTAACAAATTACAGCTTATAAGCTTTTTACAGACAGAAAAAAAGAGCCCAGAAAAAGCAGGTAAGCAGCCCCAAGAAACAGAAGGACCACCTGGTAGTGCTTGCGCAGAACCGATAAGGTGGTGTGCTGCCAAGGCGGGTAGTTCTTTGCCACATAGATGGTACAGTGAGAAGGCTTCTGGGCAGGTTCTTTAGCACTTTTCTAAGGAAACAAATTTAAAAGTTAGGAAGGAATCCTGAGGCTATACAGAATTATCAAGTACGCACATTTAAAAAGATGACTTAGCACACGTCACCTTTCCTTTCACAGGCACCAAGTAGTTCTTGAGACGGAGTCGGAGATCATGAGCTGCTTCCATGAGGTACTGAGAGGAGCGGATTAATACCTCATCCACGGGACCTGCTACTGGCCATGAGGCTCTCATGATGGAATCAGGCTTTGAAGAAAGGAAACAGTGACATGCACTGAGATGAAAACACATCAGTATCTGGTGCTTCTTCAGCCCGTTACAGCTTGACTGGAAACTGGAGTTTAAACATCAGTGAGCACCTACATATAACTAGGTTGTAAATGAGTACGTACACAGCCAACAAGCATTCATTTGCAAGTGCGTTAAGGACTATACATACAGTTAGACCTGCCATATAGCTACGTAACTTCATCCACAAGCACAAGGCAACTAAAAACAACCCAGCGTTTCACAGATTGGTGTAGGAATACTGCATTATTTGGGTTAATTTTAGATCACCTCTGAGTACACAACCAAAGCAACAGGCTAACTCTGTATGTTCACTGTCCTACGGACAATAAGCTATTACGGCTCCTCATATTACAAGGCATATGTTTCTCCTACTTCCATATGAAAGACATCCACAAGCCTGATGGGAGTCTTACGAAGAAAATATCAGCAAAATCCTAGACGCGAATCAAATGACAACACTGAAACATTAGTACCTTTCCCAGCAACGACCAGATGTGCTCACATAAGTGGGGACAGATAGGCGCCAACAGCAGAGTTTGAACTTCAATAAACTGAAACACCAGCTCTCTGTACATTCCTTCTATCGCCAGCTCACGGTATTTATCCTTTGCTGCCTGAAACACAGCCCATGCAACCATCATCACCTCACTCCAGCCGCCACAGAGAAACACTTCGAAGAAAACACACCACAATTCTTTGCTCTGATAATCTAATACGCCTTTAGAATGTAAGCAGCTTAGAACACAGTAATGGATTACTACAAAAAAATGTATTTTCCTGAAGCACCTCACTGTAAGTCTGTCAGCTGCCATTTGATTTTTGCATTGATATAGTACTTTTTAAAAAGTGTTTATTGGCACAGACATAAAAGACAAAAATACCCACAACCACCAGATACTACCACCCCAAACAGTGTGCATCAAGATACTAATAAGTACAAAGAAAAAGGCAATGAATATGATCCATCATTATATATATAATTCAGCCTACTTAATCATATTCCTGAATATCATGGAGCCACATCAAGGAGTCTCTGTAATTCATTAAGTGGCATGGTTCAGTAGACACTCTGGCGACACAGCTTATGGAATATATCAAAAAGCACTCTGCTTCCTAACAATTTTATTGATGTATTATCCGGATTTCTTATGAAGAGTTCCTTATTACAAAGGAGCTAAAGGAAGGAAATGCTCTTTTTAATAGCGTCTTTTTTTTAAGCAGCTTTTTACTCAGATATCAGGACTATTTACAGCATCACAGTCATCTTCCTCTGGACCTTCATAAAATGACACAAGCAGACCTTTATAATTTCACATTTATTCCATTAAAGTACTTGTTTCTTGGCACAATTCTGATTCCAATTCAGCTGTATAATTAAGGATCAGAGACATCAGGATCAAAAGAAATCCACAAAGTAACAAATACCAAGTGTTCGTTTCTTACACCTAAAAAGAGACCTCCTACCTGAAATTCAAAGAAGCCAGTTTTCAGAGCTTCTTTAAACATCATCTTCTCATAGTTTTGGTCTGTCTTCAGGATGCCTGCACTCATTTCACTATGGAGGCAATGGAAGTGAAGCAAACTCATCAATATTGCCCAGCCTACCCCACATAATGGCAACACTGTGTAAAACACTATCAATGTCAGCAGTGCAGCACAATCACATAACCTATTCTGTAATATGTTTGGTTTTATGAAATTCATTAATTCATAGGAAAAAAATAGCTACAGACATGCTCCTTGCAAGAAGAAACATGGACCAAACTGTATGATTAGCCTTTTGTACCTGGCAAAGACTCTGTCATTGAAGGTGTTGGCAGGACCGCTTCTTAAACTGTCTCTGTTTGCAATCATCTCCTTTACCCATTCCACCCATGTGTAGAGACGAAGAATACCAGCATCTGCCATGGCTTCCACAAAGTTGGCATCTTCAACAGTGTCTCCAGCATCAGCCAAGGCTAAACGCATGCCTGAAAGAAACTGGATCAGCTAACACGGCTGGCACGCAGTTAGCTAGTAGATACACATGCAGGAGGCACGGGACTCGTAATGAAAAGTTAGTTGTAATTTATTTTGAGTTAATAAAATGCAAAGCGAATTTACACACTGCTTGGCCAGCTACAGAGAGATGTCTCAAAGGATGCACTTTATCCAGGAGAGGTACACTGCCCTCCTTAGGGAGGAAACCAGGCAGACACCAAGAACCAGGAGACTAGTACAACCACTGCCCAAAACACAGCAGCACGCAAGAAGGAACAGGGCCATGCACGTACACGCAGCGCGGGCATCAACAGTGTGTGTCTCATGCTTTGATCTCTTCAGTGAGCGTGGAAGGACGACACAGGCACCCTCCAGGAGCTCACAACGCCAGGAGCAGTGCCTGGCTGACACAGGGGCTGGGCTAACACGCATCCCAATTTTCTAAACAGAGTTCAGCTTTTCAAACAGAAGAGGTGGTAAGCAGCAGACTCACTGCCATTCAGTACTCCCATAAAACCACGGCTCCCCCGAGAGCAAAACACGGATTTTGGTCATTGTGGCATAACTGGAAATCAGATGCAGGTCAGAACACGCTTACCATCTGCAGAAAACTTGTCAACAGCTTGAGTTAGGGTAAGAAAGTTGCCTGTAGATTTAGACATCTGAAAGAAACAGAAGAGCCTGTTTTCTCACACCTTGATTTTGTTTTTGGACAAGCAAGATAGACACTACAAGGGTTTGGGCAAACCACTGAGGAAGTATTTTCTCACGAATCACAGCAAGAGCAATTCAGTAAATCTGAACTAGGTCTCACAGCAAAAGTAGACCAAACTCTGCAAGCACGTCTCTAGCTCCCGCACGCTGAGCATAGTTTGTGACTTGCACAAGTCCTTACTATGAAGGTCCATACACACCACCGCTGCAGGGGCATGGCAGCTGCCTCCTGCATCATTTGGGTTCCACCCCAGACTGTCAGGCTTCGAAAAACGCGATAACCAGTACCACAATGTAATTCCAGAAATTACCCAAATTAAACTTATATACTACTTCAAAAATCGGCATTTTCAGCTTATCTGCATTAATTTTTCAAGAAGGACTCTGGTCAGGTTTTTGCTCCATACTAGAAAGTCTCCAAGGCCTAATTCCTAGGTTCAGGCACTTTTAAATTAAATTCAATTCAATTTCAGAACTTGCATACATTAGCCAGTTACTGGCACAAACTTTTTCCTCTCACTGCACCTACTCCAATGCTTAATAAAGGTAAAATTTTGTTCAAAAAAAAAATCATTCTACATTCTATGTAACCCTAGAACTTAACAGAAAGGTGCTGAAATCTTTACTAAATTGGTGAAGCTATACAAGAGCTAACTTGAGAAAAGTGTTAGACAGAATTGGAGGAAAGGCAGGTCTCTTTACCTCTGATGAATGAAAAACTGGAGGGCACCAGTGAAGAAACCAGAATTTTCCCTATTTCCTCCTCTTGAATTCAGCCAGTCTGGCTGGCGAGTGCCTATTTTGACAACCTCAAAAGCCATCTCATACATGAAACCTCACTGTACCTTTTCCGAATTGAGAAGGAGATGTCCATTTGCTCTCACAGCTACTGGCCATTTTTCTCTGTTTGAAGACAAGAGATAAAGCATTTGGTAAAGTAAATACATCTTCTCTTTTTTAAAAAAGAACAAACATTTTATTTTCCAGTTTGGGATGACCACCTTAAGTGGAATCTTCAAAAAAATACCTAAGGGGTCTCTTAATTCTTTTGTTAAGGAGTGTCTTTGAAAGAACTAGGTATTATCACTGCTGAAACGCAAAGCAGGGAGCACTGCACCTACAACTACACTTCATCGACCCCACCCCCTTCTATTCACCTAGGTTTAATTTAAAGGCCAGTGACTGGCATTGCCCAACAGCACTTGATAGAGCAAGGTCCCACACATCACTGCCAAGGAGGAAGCAGGTATCAAGTTCCCCACAACCATCTTTACTACAAATGACAAAAGAGCTTTTCCTGTACACAGTTTCATACAACTCTTCAGTAAAGATTCCAGGGAAGGCAACATCTTAACGCGCAGAACTACGTCTTCCTAAAAGCACCACGTGATCAGCAAAGATTCTCAACCTGTACTGCACAGTCCATGGGAATATATACACACCATTTTAACTATCCTTCAGAAGTAATTAAGATAACTTGATGATTATAAAGTTACTTAAATCCCAGTGCAGAAGTATGATTCAATACCGGGAAATACACAAGAGGAGATATTTAAAGACATTTGATTTTTACAAAACAGGCCAATGAAAGCTACAGGTAAAATTTTTTCTCCACTTTTTACACATTTGCTTTTTCATGTGGCTACCTAACTAAGCATTTCATGCCTCCATAGCTAGCTGAAACAAATGAAAAATAGCATCAAACACCACAATTCCAGCATCGGCTGCATTCGGATTTAGTTCTGGATGGTGCTACTTTGTACTCACTCCCAACAGAGGAAAAAATCCTGAAAGATACACCACTGCTGTTTCAATATGGTTTTTACACGTATCCTCTAAAGAAGCACCAGGCCGAGGTACTGTTTAGTTAGGACATACAAATCCTTCAGTTTGCTCCAGAGCCGACTGAAACTGCCAAGTCAATTAGGCTACATGCTAGAATTCCAGCTTTTAGAACAAAAAAGATTTCGGCAAGTCAACTAGACGTCACATCATGCAGGTAGATTTCAGTTTTGCTTTAAAGAATGTTTTAGAATTTGTACGTAAGAATCTTGCATCTTAAAATCTTTAAAGGATTCTAGAAAAAACAGGGGGAATAATGGTAAAAAGCCTTCAATTTCAATAACTTCTACTACAGACAACTATAACAAAGCTGTAATATGAAAAAATACATCTTCAACCTAATTCTGTATGTTGTGCAGTCCAAGAAAAGCCATTTGCAAGTGTACCAGAACTACAAACTGTCCAGCTTTATCTCCTGCACATGTGTTTCGCATTATCTCCAGACTCACCTTTGATCTGACCACATCGCCACATGATTATAGAGGTAGTACGAGAGATGATTTGGAACAAGATCTTTGCCAGAAACTCTGAGATCCACTGGATACCAAAATTCAAACTCCTCCTTTAGCTTGTCCAACTTTTCTTTTGGAATCTCTGTTTTAGGAAATGGAGCTGCCTTGAAGAAGATGTAATCCCAAACTTCTTTGCTCATTTGATGTGCCCTGCACAGAGTTAGTCCCATATTCAGATAGCAGTCAGAGTTCCTCTTACACTCCACAGCATCTTGAATAAGACAGCTTAAAAATTCTCACAACATACTCCATCTGATAAGCAGAGCAAACACGGACAAAGAGTGTACAGGTACTTTGTCTAAGATCAAGCGAGTCCAACATGAAGCAAAATCAGGAACTGGAGCTGCTCAAGCCATGCTCTGCTTAAAATGCTCTTTGATATTTCCCAGTAAAGCATGAAGACTCCCATAAAAAAGAGACGAATTCGTAATTAAAGCATGACCTCGAATGTCCTGGAAATCTGATTATTTCTTTAACGAATGCTGCCCCACCCCACTCCCAGCACCACTTGTGACCTTAACTGAAGATTCGTAAGAATCTTCACTTTGGAAGTGGTTTTCAGATTAGTTATAGCATTGAATAAGGCAAGTTTCAGTTCCAATGTGTAAACTATTCCAGAAAATACTTCATAAAATATGAGAATTAGAGCATTAGATTCAAGGCAAGATTGGCAGTGTTTTTTTTAATTCCAGGCGAGTTGTACTATCTGAACTCTCTGATCTCTTGTCACTGAAAGTACACAGCCACTCCAACCAAGAGGCTGCAGAGCACTCTTAGGAGGTATTTTGGTACAAATGCCTTCCCCCTCTTACTTTGAATGTTTCCACATAAGAGGTGTGGATAAAAGATGGTTCTAAGCTTCAAAGAGAGCTACCAACTTTTAATGCAGTGACAGAAACTAAGAGCTAATCTTGCCCACTTTCTACACTGAGGCGTACAATTTTTTACAGTTGCAAAGCAATCTCAACAAGCAGAGACGCTTCAGCAGCCACTGAAACCAATCACTCAAAAACACCTGGCAAGCACCATTTGAAGGCAAGTCAAACAAGTATTAAAAAGGTTATTTACTCTGCATATAGTTCTGCTTTCAGGGACATTGCTCCTCTCTCTCTGGCCATCATATTCCTTTCTCTTTCCTTATTTCCCTTCTGCAGATATGCTGTAACTTAACTGAAGTAAACAAGTAAACACGAAAACTTAATGACTCGCTCTCCTTACCTGATGCCTAGAGGAGATTCTCCCTGGCCCCTCAGGTTCCCTCCCTGCAACAGATGAGCCACCGTGTAATAGGCCATGTAGATAGTCGAGTCGGAGAGCGACTCTATCAGCCACTGCTCGTCCCAAGGTAACCGGGTACCTAGCAGAGACAGAAGCTGGGTATGAGAAGCAGTCAGTATCACCCCTACTAAAGAGCATGACACTCACGTGTACATTAGCAGTTTATGACTTTCAGTGGAACATGTACATACACACACACATATATATGCAAGCACTCCTGCTTATGCTTTTAAAAATCCATTTTTTAAAAACTCCACTTCTGCATTTGAAAATTTTATTAAAGAGAAAGTACTTCCTATTTTTGTAGTCAGTTTCTTAACACAACCATCAAACAAATTTCAGCTCATGATGGTTTGCTGTGTACTATAATGCAGTTATAACAGTTGTCCTATGTCACAGGCTACGCAAGATGAAGGCTAGTCAGAATTTAAGGAGAACACCCAAGAAATGGTATTAGCTCCTTCTTTGGAAGCCCCTTTCAAATCAATGGCCCAGGCAAAAAGCTACAGAGATGCTGCATAGAATCACTGCAGTAATGCAAAAATAAAATTACCCCTGGCCACAGCATTTTCAAGAAAGTGTGCCTTCTCCAGGATGCTGGGTCAAGATGTAAGTTGAATAAATCTGTTCTACACTTACCTAGAACATTTTGGATTCTAGATAGCACTTAAGCCTTCCAAATGAAGTGATGAGTACCATCTTCATGAAGCACTGAGTGAGAAAACGAGTGTTTTGCCTACCTAAGCCATATGTCCTGGAGCATGCGTGCTCTTGTAGCCAACCTAAAGTAGCTTCAAAGTTTCTCCTAGTCTCTTCACAAAACCTGTAAGAAATAAGCTATTACTAATTGCTCCTCTCAGCCCTCTTACACCACCACCAGCGGGAGCAGCAAACGATCACCCCCCTTTACATCTGCTTTTATAACTTACGTCTCTAGATGTTTCAAGCACTCTGATGCCTGTTTCTTCCAGTTCACTTCACCATAATCTAAATACCTGCAGTCAGGAAAAGTTTACTGTAATAAAGCAATCCACAAGTAGGATATAATTTAGCAGTAACTTTGTAACTACAGCTTTACTTCACTTACCACTGGTCACAAAGGGCCACAACACATTCATCAGCAGACCTCGATATAACTTGTTTCTCAGGTTCCATATAAATCATGGCTTCATCCTAAGAGTGGAAAGGGTAATAAAAGCTAAGATTTAAGTACTTAGCAAAGTCTTAAAAATCCTCACATCCTACTAAAAAGCATCCTCTCCATTCCAATCCATTTTATGGCATTTATTGCATGGCTTTCACCACTGCACAGGTTCTCTGCCTCAGCATTCATTTTAGATGAGGGCAATACTTGACTATGCACTTCTCCGAGGTATCCGTTCACATGACTTTGTAAAGAACAGTTCCATGCACAGCAAAAAGGAGCACAGAAGCACAAAATATTACTCATTGACTACGCCCCTACTGATTAAAACAGCTACTATATAAAAGAAAAACAGGTAAAGAAAAATATAACGGTGAGCTTTAATTCTACCTTCACAAACCACGCTATTCTGATGTGGGCTGAAACAGGATGAAGTGTTATCTTATTATCTGAACATAACAACGCTGCAACAACAAGGGAATATTGACTAAACAACTGCAGCTTCTCCCACTTCCAGTCCTCATCAGGAAAATCGTATTAGAGAGATGACATGACATTGCTTGTTTACTACTCTTCCTTCTCTGCACGATGAATCCCAGAAACGGGGTGTCTGCAGGTCACAGACATCCTTTATTGGCACACTTGAAACAGACTAACAATTCAGATCTTACGCTTTCAGCATCTTTCCAACTGTATCAAAGATGAGACCAAAATATTTCCTAGACAAGGTGATGGGATGAAGCAGAGGATGAGAGGCCTTCAGTTAAGCTACTCATCCCACTTAGTCCAAGAATACCAGGTCCTTCCCTTTTCAGTATTTATACTCCGTAGCTATTCAAAGCACCATTAAGAGGACTGCAGAACCAAAACTGAGAGGTTTCTTCAGCAACTCAGCTACCGTGAAATAGACAAAATGGGTAACTTTAAAGAAGCTGTGAGCATACACTACCACATACATTATCCACCATCATCTTCTGAATAGGTTTCTTGACATCTTGAACTTTTTGTCCTTTGAATCCATCCACCAACATTACCTATAAAAGATGGGTCACAGGAATGGATTTCTTTTTTCAAATTAACAAGAAATAGGTGCAATAGCTCTTTAGAGCAACATAAAGAAGTAGTAGTTACTGCAATCTTTGACATGCAAAAACAGGAATACAGGGCTTTTTTCATTAAACAGAGGATCATCTTTACCCAAAATGCATTTGTATACATGTCAGCATGCACACAGACATCTGAACACAGCTAGACAGAAATTAAAATTGTTGCCAGCAGCTTACAAGAAAATAGCTGAGGAATACTTTATAGTACGCCATTACACAAGTAAAGACAGGAGATTTAAAAAAAACAAACCAACACCACAAACCAACATATTGCTTTCTTCCTATCAGTTTCCAAATCAATATTTGTACCAAAATTGATCAACTCCTCAGAACGTGATCACTTGCTAGGAAACTAGATTGTAAGTCTCAGTTTGCAGTCATACATTCTCTTTCTTCAATTCTACTAACTCCTCCAACTGCAGAACCTGGCTGCAGGAGAAAACTAAACAAGAAGTGGTCAGGGGAAACTAGGAAAAAAGTCTCCCTCTTTCTTGCAGTCTTTTTTTTGACTCCTTATCTTTACCCACTTTTTTTTTTTCTCCTAACCAAACTCAGCAAGAAAACACTCATCAAAATCTTTTATTACTTACTCCCTCATAAAATCCTTTCAGGTACACTCTCTCCTTGGCCTCAGCAAGTTTCTCTCTGTCATTCTGGCTCTGGATCTTCAGCTCATCACAGACTGAAGGAGCACAGAGGTTGCCATAGCCTGGGATTTCAATGATGGGCACCTGAGAATTGACAAAACAGTGTCAGATACTCAGCTCAAATTATCTCAGTGCAATAAAATCTACACAAAGACTTATTTCCTGGATTTCTCAAGCTTCAGTAGGGAGTGACGCACTGAACGAAACAGAGACAAGTATATTTTGCTTGGTTTGCAGTCCTGAGGCTGACATGGGAGTTTGAACCAGAGGCTACGCAGGGGACAAAAGGCAAGTTACTACTAGTTACCTGACAGTGTGTGTGTTCAATAATATCTGGGCCAAAAGCAATATTAAACAAAGAACCCTAATGGCAGCAGAAGCAGGTGCTATGGCTAACGTCAGACTTCTACTGCATTGTGGCACTCTGTGTGTAAATTTGCAACCTCTATTACTGATCAAGTTACACAGGACTTACAAAGTATTGGCGCAATTCCACTCCAACGAAAAATTCCTGGCAGCCCTCAGCGTGGCCCCTGATCTGCCCTCCCACAAGCAATAACCTAGTTTTACCTCCTGACATGGCACCAGTACCAAGCTGTACCAGTGCTGAAGCTAACGAGTGGCAGCAAGGGTAATGCAGAATACTGGGACGGCTTTACCTGTAACCTGTGTTTTCTAACAAAAACAATTCAGCCGTGAGTCTGCATTAACAGTAAGGGACTTTAGCTCTCTGCGTAGAACAGATACAATAACAATCTGACCACTAAGGCTGTAAGTTTTAACCAGCCAACAGGTTACCAGTATAATGATGCAATCCATTCTCCAAAATAGTAATTCCCACAAAAATTAATACTTTATCTCTGAAGTACAGCACGGAATAACAAGTCTTCCTTGCAACCCCTAACAGACAAAATATTACACCTATAGCAAAACACGAAAACTTTACTGAACTTTTCAGCTCTTTCAGCTGAGGATGACTTTAAACAGAAATTCTAGAGAAGGCAGGCGCAGTTGTTGGCACATTTCTCAGCAGTGAATACATGTGTATTGCAAATGGACACATTTGGGTGTACTTACTGGTTCAAATGGCAGGACCATTTCATCTTTGATGCCATACTTCACCCTCAAAGCCTTTGAAAGTTGTAAGAAGAATAATGCAATATGGTTAGAACACAAATCTTCTACATTTAAAGGTTTTTATCTATTCATAAGGTCTCTCTCGTACATAACATTTTGCAACAAAGCAGACAAAGCCATGTCCTGCCTTCTCACCATTTCTCACATCTGAGTTTAATCCTTGTTTCATTTCCAGGTGATTCTTTGTCATAACTGTCCACAATTTTAAGAAGGGGAAAAAAAACCACTATTGCTCTACCTTGAAAACGAGCAGGACAAAAATTCAACAGGCAGAGATAGCTGTTTAGACACTGATGTACTCTTGCAGCTGTAAGAGCAACAGCTCCTTCAAGTCTCATTTGAAATTCATACAGAGCTATTAACCTCATCTCTGGAAGTAATTTCCACAAGAGGAATTCATTTCAATTTCAATGGTACTCTTCCATATCTTAACGCGCAGAAGTTACACGATTCTCATCCAAAACTCATCTTGAAGTTTGACAATAAAAAAAAACTTCTTTCGCAGCCCAGTTGATTTTAACTTCATTTATTTTTAACTAGTTTGATTTCAAGTTAGAGATGGCAAAACTCCAATTATAGGGCGTTTCATTTTACCCACTGGATATCCAATTTCGACCCTCCATACTATGGAAAGGAACCAGAAACAGGGGCAATTCAGTTAACAGACTGACCTGTTTTTTTTTCAAATCTCTCAAGGCTGCAATGTCATCTGGAGAATCAGAGGGAACACTTGTCACTATTCCAGTTCCTTGACAGAGATACAACAGATAAAAAGATTAGTCTACACGTATTGAATGCACAGTGCACATCAAACAGGCTTTGGCAAGACGATGCTGCAAAGTTACCTTTATCTTCCTTTATGCAGCGCCAAGAATCTCCTACACAGGACAAAGGAAAATCATTGCAATAAATAGCATTTTTTCAGCCTACCAGAGTAAGATCTCCTGTCTGATACTCTCCAAATTTGCTGGCATTTCTTACATATTATAAGCAAATAAATTCAAAGAAAAAGAAGAAAATCTAGTTAGACAAGGAGGGACATATGAAAAGCACGTGTGTACCATCTGAAACAGTATATAGACTATTTACTGGTAGAAAAGTCAAATACCAAACAATATAGACAAAGCAATTCCGAGAAAGCAAAACTACTGAAGTGTAGAGTTGGAAAAACACAGTAAGCAGGAGAACAGTTTGCCTCCAAATATCTGAAGCACATCAGCATCAAGACAGGAACGAATTAGGAAGCCAGTGTCAAAACCCAGATTAAACAAAGGCAGGAAAAGCATATTGTCAAGATCATATATGCACTGACAGGAGGCAGTCCAGGTGTTGCAGTTGTCTTCTACCTCTCCTATTTGCTTGAATTCACATCATGTCTACTAACAAAGAAACAAAAACTATTTTCTACTTCATCCTTCAAAGCAGGATCAAGAAAGATGGTGACAAATTTTAGTGAACGGAGATCAAGTGATGTAAACAACACAAAGGTACTTGGTATTAGGAAGAAGAAATGCCACTACCTACACTTCTTCAAAGCACAGAAGTTTATGATAGTAAATATCAAAAACACTAACATTCAACTACTAAGCTAAGCAAGCTTCATTCACAAAGATGTACTGGAAATTCAGCATCAACAAAAAAATCTTTTCCACATAACCCTTTCTAGCTGTTACTTTTTTCTGTCTCTTTCCATTCCTTGTAGAGAAGTCATCACGCTTCCCAGTATGCAGGAAAACGTTACTTAAAACCATCATTTCATCAAGTAATGTTAAGGCAATAGTAACGTATTTGTCCACAGGCAGGTGCATCAGGTTAATCTCCCATAAGTAGCTGTAGCTCAGCTGCCAAGGAAGCTGTCTTCTGCTGCTGTTTTAGTCATTGAACACTCCAAAGTTTTTGTAATAGTTCCTCTATTTTCTCTATAAATAGAATTCTACTATCACCTTTGTAAGTATAAGCTTCACAGGAACAGCTAAGCCTGAGTAGCAAGCTGCAAGATGCTTACTTCTCCCATCAGCTCCTTGACAACAGGTACGACTCCATTATCTTTTGTAAAGCCCTGGTAGGACATGTTCCTGGCAGCTCTTTGGGTACAGATAAAAATATCCCCCTTCACAGTCTCAAAGCCGATGTACTTCATATCTGGGCGAACCCAGCAGTTAGTCTGTCCAAACATGGTCTCTGGCCTGAGTGTAGCAGCCACCAAGAAGATATTTTTTCCTCTTAGGCCACTGGGGAGAAAAAAGTATTTTATAAGTCACGAAAATAAAAACATTCAGGGCAATACAGAACATGCTTTTAAGTTCATATGAACTTCTAAGTAACACTTCCTAGGGGATAAAAGTGGGTCATTAAGTTCTTTGTGGCTTTTTAATTTTCTTTCTTTTTTTTTTTTCTCTAAACTCCAATTTGAGTTCCACACAGAATAGTGAATATAGCAGCTCAAAACAGAGACCAAGTCTTTGAAGTAACAGAAATAACAGGGTGAAATTAAATTCTGCATGAGGCAAAACAGACTGTCTAATGTAATGGTCACCTCTGGCCATAAGATACAGCCTATATGCCATCACAAGTTCAAGACCTACCTTAATTTTGCAGGATAAGGATCTAAAACCTTCATTTTTATTAGCGTGTATTCTTGAGGCCCAACACCCTACAATTCACATAAACAATACATCAATCAATATAAGACATTGACTCAAGCACTAAAAAAAATAACTCCTATTCTGTAGTAGCCTAACCTAAATGCCATTTAAGGTACTGATTCTTTCTTCAAAGTAAATCATATTTCCACTGATACAATGGCTGTTTACTAAAATGCAGACCGGAGAGAGACATTATACTTTATTCCTATGTCCAAAAAATTACTCTTCACAGCCACTATCTCAGCAACACATAAGTTTATGATGTAGTGATGCTGCTGGCACCAATTGGCAAATAATCACAGAAAGCAGCTACAATGGAAAATACTATTCATAGTTCAAGACAAATATTCTCAACAGAGGAGTTCATTCAATTTTCACATGTACTCACTACTGCGAACCGATAACTATGTACGTACAAAACATGTTTTGCTTCAAGACACAATTTATTTTTCCATTCAGTATTTAAGATCATGAGCAATACATTAAAATGTAAAGTAAAATTATTACCTCTCCTGTTTGCCTGTCATGATCCATACAAGGCTGTCCATCTTTTGGAGAATAAATTGTATATCTAGAAAAAGGTATACTTTCATTTAGTAGCAAATAAAAAAAACGTGTAGACCAAAAGGAAAAAAACCCAAACTGATCTTTATGAAAGAGAGACCTCTTAACAGCATTTCAAATTTTGCATCGATCCTTTTCCACCAATGTCAACGTTCAGGTTTTGCAAGAGCTTTGAGTATTGGCCCTATTTTGCTTTAAGTTGGTACCCATGGAAAAACTAAAACAGGAACACAATCTCACACACTTTGCTAGCACAATAAATACACTACTGTGCCTAGTAAAGCATTTGAAATAAAAGGATTTTAGTTTAATGTGAGTTACGAGCACGTTCCAGAGACACGTCATAGGGTTCCGCCTTTGGTAAAGATGAGCTTATCCATATTCACAATAAACTCAGAGTTGAGTGGCAGGCTTACCGTTTCCCAAACTTAATTTTATTTCTTTCCTTTAATGTAAGAAATTGCCATCGTACAAAGGAATCATAGTAAGGATTAACATCTGTAGTAACAAAAGAACGCCTCCAATCCACCTGGAAATGCATAAGAGTCTCCAGTAAGCAAATACAATACGAAAATTCAAGGAACCTCATAACTGCAAAACTATTATTTTAAAAATAAAAAATGGTTTCTCTCCAAAAAGATAATGCAAGTACGTTTCACACAAAGGGTGCCTGCTTAAAAATATAACTATGCAGCATGCATGAGCATGGTCTTTCAGAGCTGGGACGTCAAAGACCCAAGGCCCTGTCTGCTGACTGTCAATTTTAGATATTTTGTAGTAGTTTTAACCAATTGCTCCAGCTAAATTTCAGCACTACCTTGTTTTGTAATCTCTACCTGTCTTTATTTTTAAAAAACTGTTGTCAGCAGGACAAGTACCTTTATTTAACGTCATTACTCTTCCTAAAACTACCATCAATGCTGACTACAGAACAGTTACCCAATTTGGAAACAAGAAGCGAAAGTCATAATTCCTTTATTTGGTTTTTGTTTCCAGCTGTGATAACTGAATAGGCTACAAGCTTTATATAAGAAAGCACTTAATTATCACCCAAGACTATTGAAACATTAAATGAATAACTACAAAACTACCAGAAACATTTCTAGAATGTTGGTATTATGCCATGAATCTTCTCAAAGGAGCAGCAGTGCGTTCATAAACACGAGAATACACAAATGGCTGCTTGATTAACTGAATTTTGGATTTCATACAATTACCTTCAACCCCATGCTTTTCAGATCCTGGACAGCAAGAGGAGGGAAATAATCCAGCCAGTGCTCAGCTTCAGAAAAACCGACTACTTCCTCATCAGAAAGACCCAACGACTTCATGATTCCCCACTGGTACTTGGAAGAGCCAGTCTTGGCAGCAGCCTTTCTCTGCAATGACAGCTGCCATTAGGAACAAGCGCACGTTCTTGTACTCACAACAGCTTTATATGCTCGAGAGCATTTTTCTCTATTAATGTTATGGTTTCTATTTCCAGATAGACAAGTTATACAAATATTCTAGCATCCCTTCTCTAGCAGCAAAGATTAATAATCAGAGTTTCTGATCTGCGCTATTTCCTAGCTTGTATTCAGTTGTACATACATTAACCCCTCCTCTTTTCAACTGCTACGCGCTTACATGTACCTGCCACGTCCATGACAAACTGGAAAGAAACCACCAGTTCACTGAGGTCCGGGTCAAACAAAAGGGTGCGTTTACCATGCAAAGGTGGATAGGTCCTGCACTGTATCCTTGTATCAAAGACCTCTTCTGCTGTTACTTTGCTTATATTACTTTTTCCAGCTACTGTCCTTCAAATATCTTATGTCTCCACCCAACAGCAACTTACTACCTGCAAGAGTAGGCAAGATGGCATCTTCTGTTGATGTAGAGGAGACAGAATCCCAAATCTAAGGCTTCCAGTGTGACAACCTCTTTAGCATACATAAACGATATACGTAAGAACATCTCTAAATTTTTCCTAGACTTGATTCTTCTCCTTGCTTTGTGACACTCCCAAAATCATAAATCTCATTTAAATACCCAATAAGCCAAAATAGTTCGGATGATTTTACTTCACATATTTAGCCAGAATAGGCTAGATAACAATTTACAAGAGAATAATCGGAACAGCAGGTGTATATATATCCCCTACTGCTGAGAAAGCAGGGTTGTTGCTTACAACTTGTTTGTGAATGCTTTGTGCAGGGGGGGGAAGAAACAAAACCAGCAGTATTACTCCAGATGATCTCATTTTTCTCAGGAAACTATTAAACAGTGCACCAGCTCATCACTGAGATGTCACACATTGAAATGGTACCTCCAAAACCACACAGCTGATGCAACTTTTTTTTTAAGTCTACCTTAAAAGTGCCCAGCTGTCTTGGAGAAAAGCTACCAATCCAGAAAGACTTTGTTTAAAGTTTACCTTCTTGCCTTTTGCTTTGTCTTTGATGATAATTTCTTCTTCTTTTTTAGCAGAATTTTCTTCCTCCTCTTCCTCCTCATCAGGAAATTCAGGTGGGCAGCCATATAATTCCATTTCTCTTTTTAGCTTATCTGCACAAGCCTAAACGGAGTTATTGGTAGTCTGTCAGCACTTCTCTGCAGCTATGACCGAAGCAGTTGCCAAGGAGTGCTTTTTTACTGATAACACTCTGCATTCCACTACCATGCTTTAAACTTTTTCTGGACATTGCATTAACTTCTAGGAGATCCTGCAACTTCAAGAACGCCTGCCAAGGCAGGAAGAGGTTTACAGTGAGGATTTTCTTGCAAATCAAAAAATACAATAGGTAAATTTAATTTTAAAGCATTTTCTTTTCTAGCAAGTCGTAACGTATAGCTCAAGCACAGCAAAGCTTTACTACAAATCCAGGTTCCAAATCACACTACCTTGATAAATTAACGTGATGTTCTGGATGGACAGTAAGCAATGCTCTAAGTAGTCTTAAGTATAAAAAACATCAGAACACGCCCTCAGTAACTCAAACCATCTTACCTTTATAGGCATCCCGGTGCAGTGCAGACCAAACGGAAACAAGCAGTTCTTTCCCTTCAGCCTCTGATACCCAATTGCGAACTACAGAAAGTGGAAAAATGAAACATGAAACAAGAATGGCGTAAGGCTAAATTAGCACCCTTCTCAAAAAACACAAGTGCAATTCCTTCTTTAACATGAAACTACTGAAAGATAGACAAACACAGCCAACAGCATCTAGGAAGCTAATCAAAGGAAAAGCAGGTGAAACTAGATTTTATTATCAGGCCTGACAATGCCTGGCTGCACAAGTACAAGCTTTCCTAATCCTCAGTGGACTGTTTTTTACCAGAGAAGCATGGGTGCAAAGAAGAGATGGATTTTGTGGAATCCTACCCACTAGTATCTAAAAATCTGTTAACACACAGGTAGTAGAGCACAGTATTCACAAACAAGAGGCAACAAGATTTCTTGGGAAGTCTGTGCCATTTAGCAGCTAGACAAGCGGTAAGAAGCAGCATCTCCCAAAAATCTCAGCAAATCTGAAAGAATGAATAGGGGAAAACATCTGTAGTCGAGTCTCCTAGAATTAAAAAAAGCAATCAGTGGCATTTCTCTTCAATCAGCAATAATTCCACTGAAAACATGGGGAAAAAATGGAAGTTTGAATGAAGTCATTACTGAATATATGAAGTAATCAACAAGGCATTCTGGTAGCTCAAAATTTAACTACAAAATCAGTATCTATTCTAGACTAGTATTTAAAGGTATCAGCAAAGGAAAATATTTACCTCACATTTAGACAAAGAAAACGTGTGTCCCAGGTGAAGGCGACCGTTCATGTAGGGGTAAGGAAAGGTAACAAAGTACTTGCCTTTGCTGAGAAGAAATTCGAAGAATTAAGACATGCAATTAGCTTTTAAAATGACCATCAGAAGATGCAAAAGTCAAACAGTTAACCGATACGTCCAGCTATTACCAGCCCATAGTGACATTACAATCGTATTTCCCCTGCCAGTAACACGAGTCGTTGACCGCAAAGAACTGATATGATAACAGGTTTTATCATCTTTAAAAAAAAAATGGAAAAGAAAAAACCTGCATAGGTTTATATCTATTTCAGAGAGAAACTCCGAAACAGCTATAACATCTTCCCAAAGGTACCGAGTTCTAATCCTGCTTCTGCGAATTAACCCCGCCAAGCCTGCAGCCCCCTGTCCGACCTGCCGCTGCCCCGTTGGCCCTTCCAGCGCACACCGGGAATAACGACTCCTTTCCCAGAGATACATCGCTGCAATCTGTTGAACGTGTATTAAGCTACCCTTGTAACCTCGTATCCTTAGGAGGTTAACCTCCTAATGTTATCCTTGTAACTCTCAAAGCAACCAAGCTAACGTCTAGATCTTCAGGACGTCGCACATTTCCACCCCACCTTGGCGCTCCGTGCCTTGTCTCTGCCCTTCAGAGGCTAACGCTGACGTATCGACATGCATAAACCAAGGCCAGGTCGTTTGCTTGCAAAACACTGTGATTGAAGCAGCTGCCACCCGTTACACCACTTCAGTTCTTATCCTGGTTGAGTGGGACTTTCCCACACAACAAATAACTAACCTCATATCACCAAGGTCACTACTTTTTCAGACCCAGACCTAGCGACTGACCAACGCTGCTCCACCAGGAAGCCTCCCGCTACACCGCGAGGAGCATGGACCCCATCGATTTGAGAGGAACCGTGCTTGGCTGCAGTCCCGGGCACCGCAGCCGGCGTCCCCATTAGCACAGCCGCCAGCGGGGAACGGGGATGGAGCACGGCCCCGACGCCAGAGCAGACTGGATCTGCCACGCGGGCAGCGAGCAGCGCCCAAACCAGCGCTGCACGTGCCTTCTGTCTTAGAAGCACCAACTTCAGAAAGCTGAGAACAATTATGGAACCAACCAGGTGGGAGAAAATATGAGCAAAGAAATGAGCAGCTTCTATGATCAGTGGACAGCAGCTCAGGAATATTTTACCACAAGACCAGAATGCCATTATCAAAGCAAAATGTTACATTGACCAAAACCAGCATAGATTGAAAGCAGACTGCTCTATAGAGTAAAAAAAAAAATCAAAAATCCTTCCCTAACAAATAAGAAAAACAAGGTAAAATCCACAGCAGTTCAGATGAATTACAAGAGGCAAATACCAAAAAGGAAAGAAAAAAGACCCAGCTAAATCTCAGTACACATTCATGCAGACATGATGTCAACAAGAGGGTTTCTTCTTTTATTTTAACAATATGAAAGAACACAGCAATCCTACCAACAACATTATAACATGGAAACGGCAGAAAACAAGAGATGGTTCAGACACAGTCCCTCTAGAAACACAACACAACTACGTTAGCAGGGGAAGCTTCAAGCAAAGAAGCAGAAATACAACAAATGCAGTGACTGGAACTGAAGTCAAAGAACTTCATAGTTAATAAAAACCACTTTATGTAATGATAATAAAAAAAAGGAACATTGTTAGCCATTAAAACAACCCAAGAAGATCTGTGGTGGAATTTCATCATTTTTAAATAAAGGTTAGATTTTTTCCTAGTGAATCTCTTTAGTTCAAACAGGAATTATAGCAAAGAATTTTTAAGTCTGAGCTTTGGAAAAGGCCAGCCACATTACAAGTCATCTCTCCTGGCCCATTTTCTTTGAGTAACTGTGACCTTTAATATCGATACAGCTATTCCTGCTATCACTTCCTAGGATTGAGTTGTGCATGAACAGCAACAGATTTCTTACAGCAGTTCCATCTACATCCCAGCAGAGCTTTACTGGCTCAACACAAGAAAGACCACTGTACCCACAGCCTTTTCCTGGCATGGGCTAAAACCCCACTGTGACTATGTAAGGACCGACTGCAGCAATGTTCATGCAAGTATCACTTCTCTCTCCTCTAGGGAAGCTTCTAGTACTATCAGCTATTTTATACAAATATGTAGATGTTTAAATCAAATTCCTGAAATAAATACATGGCATCTTCACTAGAAGTGCAAGAACGTTAGTTTAGCAAAGCAGATTTTTCTCTATTTATAAGGTGATCACACGTTACCGTAACAAACACTGAGATTTCATATGAAATTGCTCGATATTGTAAAACTGACCTACTACTATCATTCTCAGTCAGAAACTAAGTATTAATTACAGCCTTAAATTTCAACCTGTAAGATAGCGAATACTTAAAGCACAGACTGCATTTCTCTTAATTAAAAAGAGTTCTACAGTGTAACACACCTCCACACCACAGTTTTTATTACACCTCCTAATTTCGCATTCAAATCTTCTAACTCATTCAGCTCCTTCACTCAGTCTTGGGACTAATTTTGCTGGAGCTGCAGATCACAACAGCAGAAGTGCCCACTGAAGTTCTGCGACTAACAGAGTAGCGGGAAAAACCCTTGCAATATAGTTCATGTACTCAAAGAAGTCACAGCACCTCACCTGAGGAACAGCAGTGACCACACGCCTGGTCTTCATCCACTTCCATGCAAAGTAAAACAGGCTGGCCTACACCATGACCCAAGATATTTGCTTAACAATTTTCTTTTCTCAGCGAAGCAGAGCAAGTACACACCTTCCTTCAGATAAAGCAGCAGTCCTAACTGGGAGAGCAGAAGCCCTCCCACTAGTCAGGGCTCAGGCACCACACTGAGAAGCCCTCTCCATGTCAAAAAGTAGAAGTCACCAAAGAGGACCTGTTTTTAAAGTCTCAGAGAGTACTGATACTACCAAGAAATGAGGCGGCAGCTTTTTTCACCCTACTGGAACTTGGCCAATACACGTACACCACTGCTTTATGTTGTCAGCTATAGAAATGCCAACTTCATGCATAAGTAAGTACCTCCAGATGATCCAAGAACACTATTCACTCAAAAGAAGCCATTTCCTTCCCCCCCCCCCCCCCGGGTTTTGAAAGAAAAGAGTTCCCTTGAAAAGGCATTTCAAGCAGCTAAAGATAAAACCTGTAAAAAAATGTAACAATACCTCTTTTGGTTCTGCCTATCCAAAGCATCAATCTCAAAGACTCGCTCATCATCCCACTTCTGTTGGATCTCTTTTTCAATTTTCTTCAGGAAATCGACTTTTGCTGTCCCTTTACGTTCCTGTTAAACAGAAAGAGGAAGAAAAGTCTGGCTGAACAGGTTAACAAATACAGAACTATGTTACAGACCACTCCCAAACTTCTCTCATTACAGGCAAGCATTTCTCTAGACTCTGTAACATTGCAGCGTAATCTCACAACAGAGCATCGCTAACGTGATCAACGACTGGCCCGTGTAAATCTGTAGCCTCAAGGTTCAGCCTTCTGCAACAACGTCAAAAATCTGTACGGAAAGGGTTAACAACACAACGCAGACACACTAACAAACAGATCATCCTAGCAATGACTAACAAATTCACAGGCGTCTGAACTGAGGAGACAGGAGCGGGTACAAACATCAGTGAAACAGCCATGGAATTCTGTTTCTGTTCCAGACGCTCCATAAACCCCAGGTAATGGTTCTGCATCTCACTGCACGTTCGGAGGGAACAGTACCTCCTACGCCAGGTGAGGAGTCTGGCATATAAATCTACTCTAAGTACAGTTCAGAAAGAGAGTTCTTCAGCCAAAGCATTTTAAATTATTGTAAATTCCACCGGTGTTCCCACACGGCCGCTAAGCGTTGAACTCCTTACTCTTACCGCGCAGCCGGCACGGAGCCACACAGCCTGACCCACCCCGGGCTGGGGGTTTTCCTCCCCAAGACCAGGGCCCCGCTCGGGCACCCGGGGCAGGAGCTGTGCCTGGCTCCACTCAGCTGAGCGCACGGAAACGGGACGGACAGCGAGAGTACCGCAGCAACCCCCGCAGCACC